AAAAGGGTGGTATATAAATGGAAATAAATAAATGAAATAAATGAACCAACACTGAAACTCTGCATCAGTTACAATATTTACAAGCGTGTATTTGACTTAACTAGCCAGTCTTCTTTGATCCTTCACAGAAGTGATGCATTGATGAGCTGCTCCCCCCCCATCAGTGATGAGAGGAAGTAATTTTGGAGGGGGCCCCCTCTCCCTGCCTCCCCCTCCTCTTGCTCTGAACAGCCTCCTCAGCTCTTGCAGCAAACCTGGCTGCCTCCTCCTTTATTTATGCCTTGAACTCACAACGCCTTTGCTTATTCTCGTAATCGGTTTCTGGTGTATTTACATTTCTGTGCTTCAGACGTGCATTTCTAAGGATCGGGTTTCTCTCTCTCTGGGCCGGCTGTTCCCACCCTTCCCCCCTTCCCCAATTCCCCCGGACCTCTGTTGCTTGGAGCAGACTCTGGCGAGTCCCAGATCCCATGTCAAAGGCCACGACCCAGATGTCAGAGCAGCCCTTTCTGCTGGCCTCCTCTTGAATGATTATCTGGAGTTTATTGTGTCGGAGGGGATGGGATTGGGGGCAGCCCAGTCACCCCAGCAAGGCTCTGCAGCCGGACTGCAGCTCAACAATGGAACGGGGAGTTTCACAGAAGCACAAAAGATTAAATTAAAGTTGGACATTTGGCCAGAGAGGTGTGTGCCTTAGAACACCCCCTGGGCAACCCATAATTCTTCCTGTTTCTTGTTAAGGAGCATTTTTTTAAAAACCACAGCAAGCTAACCTGAAAAATTTCCTGGACGAAACTTTCATCAAGTCAGTTTGACTGAGATTTAAGAGTAAATTGCTGACTTGAAGTCCCTGCTGCAACAAGGCCTCCAACAGATTTTCTGTTGGATCTCATATTTTCAGGTCAGAAGCAATATAATGTCCAGTGGCACAGCTTAATATGTGATCACATTTATTTTTTTTAAAAAAGAAAGACTGTTTCCCCTCCCAAGGCTTTAACAACAACAACAATAACATCAACACACATATCCAATTTATTATGAAATGTTATCTTTGTCTTCTTGCTCACCCCCACATCCCCTTTGCTTTCTCAAACCTTCATCTGTAATGAATGAGAGGCTTCAGGGTGGGGTGAGGGGTGGATTCTCTGCTCTGAAAGAAGAGAAAAGCCACTCATGCTCCTGACCTCGGATTCCTTCTTAATTTTATCTAGCCCTGACCTGTTGGCTCAGTTCTGCCGTCTTTGGAGACTCACAAACATGTAGCAGCTGAAAGAAACAATGGCAGGGTTTTTTGGGATTGCAGCATTGCACTTCTGTGACCTCCGTGTAAACAGATGCTTTTCTGCAAAACTTTTGCCAGGACACCCCCCCCCAAGAAAAAACCCCCTCACAAAACTTGCTGTGACCATCTACAACAGGACCCTCTCTCCAGCCTCTAATTCAGGACCAGCAAGAGAGAATGGATCTGCCTTGAGTTTCCAACATAGCCAATTCGGTGTCTGTCTGTCTGTCTGTCTGTCTGTCTGTCTCTGTTTGTTTTTTGTCTTTTGCTTCATGTATAATTGTGGGAAATGAATTCTGCCCTCTTTTTGTCCTTGCTGGCAACCAGGGAACCTTCTGTGAAACGCTTTTTCCTCTTTATGGAATTTTGTTGTATTAGGAAACCTCGCATCACGGCCTTGCTAGCGTCCCATATTATTCTTTTCTCCACATCTGTTCTCAAATTTATCTCGAAGTAATCTTTCAGAGCTTTTTGGGCCTTCTTATAAATCTCCTCATCTCTGAATAGGGCATCATTCATCCTCCATCTGAAAGTTCCAGTTGTTGTTAATTTCATCTCCATCTTCACGGCATTGTGGTCGGAGCAAGTCTTTGGGCAGATTTCTACTTTTTTAACCCTTGGTGCCATACTGCTAGTTACCCCAAATTTGGGAAATGAATTCTGCCCTCTTTTTGTCCTTGCTGGCAACCAGGGAACCTTCTGTGAAACGCGGTTTTAAAGGCATGGGGGTGATTCCTGTGTGCAAAAGATTGGCCAAGGATTTGAACACTTTTCATCCAGAAATTCTCCAGTAGTTGCACAAAGATTTAAAACCAATTCTTGGGGAGCGGCCAAGAAACTTTGCCAGGAGGAGAACCCAGGTTAAGTTAGGAAAGGGCACATTACCTTTTTTAAAAAAATGAAAAGAGAAACATGGTCTCCTCCGTCTGTCATTATATGTCAATTGGCATATTTTAGGTGCAGCCAGCTCATTTTGTTGACGTAGACTTCAATATAGATGTGGAGAACATCAGGCCTACAGGCCAAACCAGACAGTTCCTTAAGCCAGCCCTCAAAGTCCCAATGGCTAAACTGACCACTGCCTGGCTGGGACGTGTTCCAGTGCGCTGCTCTGGTTTGCCAGAAGCAGCTTTGTCATGCTGGCCACATGACCCGGAAGCTGTACGCCGGCTCCCTTGGCCAATAAAGCGAGATGAGCGCCGCAACCCCAGAGTTGGCCACGACTGGACCTAATGGTCAGGGGTCCCTTTACCTTACCATCTACTTTAATAGCTTTGTGGCAAACAGAAGTCCAACCAGTGCAGCTTCTCCTGCTTTTACATGCAGAGGTCATAGAAAGCCACATCTCTTGCATAGCCTGGCACACACCTCTTCAGGGTTCTGCTGGGAAAGCATGGAGGCAGCTCTGTGCTGATCTAGCAGCAGCAAACTGAAGCGGTTCCTCATAGCATCATGCCCATCTTCCTCTGAAAGGCCAGGGGGCTGTGGCGGTGAGAGAGTCTGTCTCATTGCCTTTTATTTTCGGGAGGCTGAAACCTTCAGAACAGCTGGACTTAACACCAGGGCTGGATTAGAGATCCAGTGCCAAGTCTGGACAGACTCGCTTGCCCTTTCTGTTTCACTTAATCCCTTCTGTTCCAGCGTTTGGGTAGGTCCCCTGTAAGTGGAGACAGTCTTGCCTTGATTTTGTTGAACCCATGAATTTGGGGAGCTTGAATTGCTTCTGCCACCATCATACAAGACGTTTGTGCTCATCAGTCAGAGGTGTGGCTGGAGACACGATGTTAACCTCCAATTCACATCCCTTCCCCTTGCTGATTATTTGGGATTGTTCTGTGGTGTCAAAATCTCTTCAGGAAAGGCTGCTCCATTTTGTGCCTTTCGCTGCATCTTTGAGGATTAGCGAAGGAAGGAAGGAGCTGGTGCTGGATTTCATTAGAATAGATCTTTTTGACATTTGCCTCTTGCCATTTCCCCCCAGCTCTTTCCATGGGGGCTGCGGGTGCAGCCTGCAGTTTTGCCTAAACTGAGGGTGGGGAGCCTAAAGAGTGTCTTCCTCCTTCGGGGGAAAGTGCAGGAGCCCCCTCTGGTGTCTTTCTGCAGAACGACATCGCCTCCAGATGGTTGCAGATCAAAGGACCCTTTTGGAGGAGGGAAGCAGACAAAGGGGGGGGGAAGTATAAAAGAACAGGAGGCGCACACTGCCGAAAGGGGGCGGGGAGTTCTTTGTCATATCCTCCTCCAAAAACACAACTTAGATATTGGCACACTGTCTTGCCTGTTGAAGACCTTCAACTGCAGACATGTTTCGCTAAAAGTTTTGTTAAAGCTGAATTCACTGCAAGCACCAGAACTTCTTTCTTTCTTTCTTTCTTTCTTTCTTTCTTTCTTTCTTTCTTTCTTTCTTTCTTTCTTTCTTTTTTATTTATTGTATTTTTATCCCACCCTTCCTCCAAGGCACTCAGGGCCCCATCCCATAGTTACCCTCCCCTGTAAGGTAGGTCAGGCTAGAAGTTGGTGACTGCCCTGAAGTCCCATAGAGAGTTTCATGGCAGAGCAGGAATATGAACCCGCATCTCACCAGGGCTTAGGCTGATGACCCAACACGAGGATGGAGAGACAGTCGCAACCCAGCCAGGTGGACGGGGAATAATAATAATAATAATAATAATAATAATAATAATAATAATAATACATTGTCACATTGTTCTGGCTGGGGATGAAGGGAGTTGGATTTCCCCACCGCTCCTCTAGCTACTCCACCAAGCTGTCCTTCACCTGATGGGTCACACCTGCTCATCCATAAGCTGCCAAGGGCCACAGCTCAGTGGCAGAACAGCTGTCTCACATGGAGAAGGCCCCACCATCAGAGGCGGTGGGCTAGCCACCTGTAGGGGCGGGGCAAACATCCCAGGGGGCGGGGCAGCGATGTCATCACCCCCAGGGATGACACCTGGGATGGGCTGCACCTACCGCACCCCCTGCCTCCGCCAGTGCCCACCACCTGTCTCCTGCTGGCCTAGGTAGGGCTGGGAAAGGCTTTCTGCCAGAAGCCCCAGAGAGCCATCGCTGCCAGTAGGTGGGTGTAGACAACTCTGATTTGGGGTACCAAAGGATGGATACTGCGTAAGGCAGCCTTCTATGCAACTCCTAGGTGATAGTGAGGCCTCTCTTCCTCTTTCTGCTGGTAGGCAGCTGTAAACAAATGGTGGTACACAAACTTGCTGTCATTTGTTACTCAAATAGGCACGCTGTAAGATGTACAGGGCGCTTCAATATGGCACGACCTCTTCCATGCCACTGACCTGGCCCTTAAAATACAAAAGGGCAAGGGAAGGGGAGGTTGGGGCAGCCATGGTCTGCCCTGCCGGCCTACAACAAAAGGCGGCATTTTTCATCTCTGCCAAAGCTAAGGCAGTTGCTCCTTGCCTCTCTCGGCCCTGACCTAGACACTAGGTGAATCCCACCGCGATGGTCACCTCCAGGACATCATGATCATGTGTCAGCATGCAGGGAGCTTCTGGTTTGGCCAAGATGTGCCCTCCGCGAATATGCATCAGTCATGGAAGAGATGTGGTAAATGAAGGGCACTTTTAGTGAGGCACCTGCGGCCCGTGTTTGAGTTCAAGTGGTCTTCAGCTGTCTGAGTACGTCAGTGAGATAGAATCTGAGTGGGTCTTCCTGGGTCTTGATTAATTAAATATTCTTATTTCTGCAGATCCCAGAAGGAAGTACCATGTCAGACTCCTGGCCTACAACAGTGTGGAAGAAGGCTACCAGGCAGATCAGACGGTCAGCACTCCTGGATGTGTCTGTAAGTGTTGAATTATTTTATGGAAATCACCAGCTGTGGTTCTCTTTTATGGATATAGTGATTGCTGTTCGTTTTCTGCAATCCCTCTAACTGCTTTTGGTATTAGGTCGATATTGTGAAGTCTATGCCTATGGGGAAAGGGCATTTAAAGAATGTGTTGAGTCCATGGTATATGTTCCAATGGACTGAGAGCTTGTTGCCATAAATTTTGGAGTGATCATAGACTTGTTTGATTTATTAAGACTCTTTAGTGGCTGGGGGTCTTAAGCCTCACACTGACTGCTATGAGTCCTTGCACAAGATGGGATATTAGTCTAGTTTTCAAACTCTCCCTATCATTCCTAGCCGCTTGCGACTCACGTTCCTTGTTGCCTCTTTTCCTCTTCTCCACAGCTGTCCGTGACCGAATGGTCCTGCCTCCACCACCACCTCACCACCTTTATGCCAAAGCAAACACCTCTTCTTCCATCTATCTGCACTGGGGACGACCTGCATTCACCTCTGCACAAATCATTAACTACACTCTCCGCTGCAACCCTGTAGGGCTACAGAATGCCTCTCTGGTCCTCTACCTCCAGACGTGCGTATCATCCGTTCTGATAATTATACTTGCCCCCATTCCCTTCAGATAGTTTGTGGTTCTTTTAATTGGCATTTTTATGGAGCAACTAGGATTGCAAAGCCAGAGTCGAGCCCCCAGATCTGCTCCAGGGCAAGTTCATTTTGGGGCCTGTTTGTATTCAGTTTGTCTCAACTTGGTTAAATTGGGCTGCTCTTCCTCCTCTTCATCAGCCACAATCCTTGGGTGATACCATAAGGCTGGATACCATCCAGCAACCAGGCTCTCTTTAGTCAATGTGTGATTTGGAAAGTGGCCTCTTTTGCTATAAAGGCTTCAAGCTCAGGAAAATATAACCTGGAGTTAGTGTCAGTTAATGGTTATGGAGACCCCAAGCGTTAAGGGTATAAGCTTATTCTGACATGAATTTCTTCTTTTCAAAAAGGTTTTGTAAACAACACAATATAAAATTTTGTCTTGCTTATCATGTGTATGGGTGGAGGTTTAATATGTATTTTATTTGGGGGTAGTGGCCTTGATACAACAGGCTATGGAATGTATCAATAAATTAAATTACAGTATATTTAATCAAAGCATTCTCCCCACAAGGGAACGCTAAAAAAAACTTTGAAAAAATAATCAGGTATTTAGTAATGCTCTTATTCAGATACAGTATTAGAATTTTTAAGGGCAATATGTTTTCTAGACTAATTTCAGTTCAATTTCCAAAGTCTGACACTCAAATCCTGCCTCTGACTCCATTGCCTACAAACGCCACATATGAGGTCACAGCGATGATGCCATGATCTACCCACTTGGCAATGCCTAGTGAACTTAGAGACCTGCCTGTTACGTTTTTTTATCAATTAGAGAATGCCAACCTCTTCAAGGCCATGTGATATATGGCTAGTCATGGCACATTTCCTGGAGAGGCCACGTAGACCAGACATGTCATTGTTCATGTTGGGGCAGTAATGAGAGTGAGCTGGAAATGCAGATCCTGTTTATGACTTCCTTGCTTGTAAGTGTTCAGGTTCTGCAGTCCAGGGCAGGTGTTGCTTTCTTGATGGGCCAGAAGATGGAGTCCTCAAGTGTTATATTTCAGCCATCCTGTAGAAACATTAGAATACCTCTTTAAGTTTCACATTTTCTGGGTTTTGCAGAAGGGAGCAGGGTCAGATCACTCTGGTGGAAAACGGATCAGCCATTCCTGGTATTAAATTTTGCTTTCTCATGTTTCTATGTTTACAGCTCAGAAACTCATATGATGGTTCAGGGACTGGAGCCAAGTACTAAGTATGAGTTTGCGGTTCGGCTACATGTGGATCAGCTCTCAAGCCCTTGGAGTCCTGTGGTCTACCACACGACGCTTCCAGAAGGTAAGGGTGACATTGTAAAGAAATGCTCATGTCATCATGCACTGGGTTACTGGCCAGCAGCCCCAGTTCTCTTTGACCAGCTGGGCAGTGGACACGATCCCCATGCAAAGGATGTCTTTGTGTACATTTTGCCAATGTTGATCACCTGCCATGGCATGTTCGGATGTGGGTGGATGCCAGGTGCTACAAACCCTTTGGGTATCTTGTTCCCAAGCAATGAATTTCAGGGTGGTGGCACTGGACATCAAAGGGGGAAACAAAAATGACAATTTAAGCTGAGGGCACATTTGTGTCCATGGGAGAGGAGTCCTCAGTTGGCATCTAGAAGTTTAGTTACATTGCAAGCAATTTTGGGGCCTTCCAGTGAGTTTGGACAGGGGGGTTTCAAGGCAAGGGCTTGCTGATTTGTTTGCCTCCCAGTAATTCTCTGTGGCTTTCCCCCCAGCACCAGCTGGTCCTCCGCTGGGAGTGAAGGCGACTCTGATAGAGGAAGACACAGCCTTGGTTTCCTGGAAGCCTCCCGGTGGGCTTGGCACTGTCATATCACGTTACACAATCCTCTATGCATCAAGGAAAGCCTGGATCGCTGGCGAGTGGCAAGTCCTGCACCGGGAAGGTGAGTGAGTGACTGTGGCAGGTGGCTGTGGAGAGCTTGTTCCCAGCTTTATCCGGGTAAATCTAAACTTGCTGTTTCTGCTAAATGTTACTAGCCCTGTTAATCAGGGCTCACCTCCTGGGTGATAGACTGTCTGATAGAATCCAGAGTTTCACCTTGAACTTTGTTGCAAAAGTTGCTTCCTCCACTCAGATATCAGAAGGGAGAGAGAAAAGGGAGCAAGCCAGCCTCCCTTGTGTGCTTCAGCTAGGCAGCAATATTTAAACCTAGCACCCACAACTCTGCTGGAAACACAGAGGATGCTCCTGGAACAAGGGCTGGTTGCTCAGCTAGATTTTTCTTCTGTCTGCCTGGTTTGCGGTAGAGGAGAAGAAGGGAGGTGGGGCTGAGAAGGTTCTTCTTCTTGAAGAAGAACTATTAAGAGGCATTTGGACTATTACCATATTTTTCGCTCTATAGGACGCACTTTTTCCCCTCCAAAAATGATGGGGAAATGTGTGTGCGTCCTATGGGGCGAATGCAGGCTTTCGCTGAAGCCTGGAGAGCGAGAGGGGTCAGTGTGCACCGACCCCTCTCGTTCTCCAGGCTTGCGGATAGCAGCCTGTTCTGGGGGCTGGGGTCGGGGGAAGCTCGGGCTTCCAGCCTGGTGGGCCCTATAGGGCAAAAAATACGGTAATTGTTTTAGAAATGCTTTTAAATAAAGAGATTCAACATTTATGAGATTAAACATTTAGAGGACCACAGGTTGACCATCCTTTTTCTAGATTCAGATTATAATGACCGGGTCCAACTCAACAGCATGTTCATGTAGAAAGTGAGGAATTGATAAGCAGGTTGAAGCCATCATCTCTATTCTGGTCTACCCTATTACTAAGCTTTTCTGGATCAGCTCTCCAGCTGATGTTGGACTCAGAACTTCCACTGGTCCCAGCCAGTGCAGCCAGGGTTCCTGGGGATGTACTCCAGCAGCAGCTGGAGGGCACCAGGGTCCATATAAAGTCATATGGGTCTGTCTGGCTCTCAGGGAACATGATCTGGTCAGCCATTATCCCAATTCAATCTTCCTGCCTTCTTTCGTCTCCCTCCCCCATAGGAACTATAACAATGGCTTTGCTGGAGAACCTGATGGCGGGAAACATCTACCTCATTAAAATAGCTGCATCCAATGAAGTGGGGGAAGGGCCTTTCTCCAACGTGGTGGAACTTGCTGTCCTACCAAAGGAAGCATCGGAATCAAACCAAAGACCCAAACGCTTGGATTCGGCAGATGCTGACACAGGTGAGTGCAAAGAATTTGTGACACTCACCTAGTCAGGTCTTAGAACACCAGGTCTTCAAGTTGTTATGATTCACATTTACAGTCTCTTCACACATTCTTTACTATTGTTTGTTGCTGTTATAATTATAATTTAAGATTACATTCTGTCACGAAGTTTTCTCAGAATGGTTTACAGTAGCTCTCAGAGCAGTGTAAATCTGAATCCTAAAATACAATTTAAAACCACAGCAATGAAAACAATACCTCAGCTCTGGTCTCTCTTTGGTAACCTAAACATGGTTGCCAAAAGCCTGGGAAAACAGAAAATGTCTTTGCCACATTGAATCCTTCCAACAGTGAGGGAAGGACTAGTCACAGGGTCTGTTCCTCTCCACCCCCACCTGCAAATAATAATAATAATAATAATAATAATAATAATAATAATAATAATAATTTTATTTATACCCCGCCCTCCCCATCCAAGGAGCAGCTTACAAGCAATAATAAAAACAAGTTGAATGATTACAACTTAAAAACAAAAATTAAAATACAGCATTAAAATATTGAAACATTAAAATATTAAAATGGAGCCTCATCGCAGGAGGAGAAGGAAAAGAAAAAAGAAAGAGAGGGAGGGAATCAAACTGGTTCCAAGCCAAAGGCCAGGCGGAACAACTCTGTCTTACAGGCCTTGCGGAAAGAAATCAGATCCTGCAGGGCCCTGGTCTCATGAGGAAGTCTGAAGCCCATGGCCTTTGAGACAGTACACTTGCTTTCATGCTGTGGACATGCGTACTCTTCTGCTTAGAGAAGCTTACCTGAGATGTGTCTGGATTTGCAGTACATGTGATTTATTTTACTTATACGTGATTCTTCTGCATGATGTGAAACAGGCTGCCTGTTTCAAGAGTCACTATAATTTTACACTGGGGGTGGGAGGGAAATGTGTGTAGATCGTTATGTGTTAAGATTGCCTCATATTGTGAATCTACAGTTGAGTGGCAAAAAAGGACAGACACACAGTCTTCCCACCTTCTCCTCCACACACCTCAAATACTTTCCTAAGTAAAATCACACTTGAAGGGAGCCTTAGCTGGAAAGAGCAGCTATGAAGCTACCTTAAATCAAGGCTTCTGCAAATGTCAAAACTGCAGGGACAAAGAGTAGCTCCTGGGGAATTCCCCCACCCCACTGACTTCAGTAAGAAATCCTTGGAGACCCACAGTTTCCACAACCAAACATGGCACCTTGGAGGCACCTGGTTCCTCTCTTTGTTTGTGGCTCTCAGAGTGGCTGACAAAAATCTGTGTTAAAACACTCCCTGCAGCCAGGCTTACAGTCTAAAATGACATTTTAAAAAATTCATTTGTTGTTTGTTTGATTTATGCCCCCAGTTTACCATAAGAATAAAACATATGATATATAAAAGCTAAAACACAGATTAAAACATCAGAACAGTATTGCATGATGACACACAAGGAAAAAGTAGGGAGGTGGGTTGTTCCTGCTGATGTTTGTAAAGTGACACTTATTAGAAGGCAGTTGAGAGCAGTAATTTCTCAGTGATGGCTGTGGGGAGTGTGTATGCCTTTCTCAAGGTCAGTGAGGGGAGGGTTCCAAGGGCCAGATAGAGAGTGCTGCATGTGGCCCCCGGGCCTCATCTTGCCTGGGAACTGGGTACTTGTTCATTGGGCACCTTAGTATGGAAAGCAGCGATCAGGAGCCTGGCCCAGTTAGTTTCCTCAGGATTCCCTGATGTCCGTAGTTGATGCTTCTTGTGTTTTCAATGGCAAGGGGTGCCTAGAAATTGTGCTGCAAAAGCGGCACGCAAGTGATAGACCTGGGTGTTGCTTTCTTCCTTGCAGCTAATTCCGGCTATTACCAGCTGGACCAGAAGTCGATGACAGGCATCATTGCAGGTGTCTGCATTGCCCTGACGTGCATCTTGATCTGCATCCTCATCTTGATCTATCGCAGCAAAGCCAGGTAAGCTTGGAGGGGGCAGCTAGGTGCTTCCAAAGTGCTACCATTGAAGCACCCACAGAAATGGGGGTCCGGTGAGGTTGGGGGGACCTTGGACACTTCTCACTTGGAGCAATTCAGTATTGTGGCAGCAGTGGGCTCCTAGGCTCAGGCCCTGAGTGGAATCTGTGGGAGGGGAAGTCTGAAGCCCATGACCCTTGAGACAGTACACTTGCTTGCATGCTGTGGACATGTGTGCTCTTCTGCTTGGAGAAGCTTACCTGAGATGTGTCTGGATTTGCAGTAAAGAACTGTTTTGCTTACGTACCCCAGGTCTTAAAACTCCTGGGATCTGGAGCCAGAATATACACAAGCTGAACAGTCAAGTATGGCAGCTTTTGGCAGGCTGGCCCAATTTCAGGCTGTGGTTGGAGATGGAGTGAGGATCACCTGTTCAAATGCTGAAAAACAAATACTGTAGTTTAGGGTGGAAGAAGGCAAGGGTAGAACCTTGTAGGGAGTGTTGTGGTTTTGTTTTGTATTGTATTTACTGGGGAGCTTTGTAAATATTGAAGCACATGAACACACCCAGACACCTGCAATCTAAAGTCCAGTGCCAGATGAATCCCAGAGAGTTTGGTTCCATTCATAAATCACTGCAGTCGGTTGCTTTTAAGAGGGCTGGGAAATCTTCGGCTCTGCAGATGTTATTGGCCTCCAACTCCCATCATCCAGCAACATCTGGAGGGCCAAAGAATCCACTCTCCTGATCTAACAGGATGTAGGCACGCAAGATGGAAAGGAATTTTCCTCAGCCTGGCCTGCTTGTCTTAAGTCTCACTTTCCTTCCTGCTCCACATCGAACAGGAAAACGTCAGCCCCCAAAAGCATCCATCAAGCGTCCCACCAGCACTCTCACAGCAGCATCTCTTCCATGGGGGCCAATGAGGTGGGCAAGAGCATAGAAGACCTTGCTGAGAATGAGGAATCTCTACAGCCAATGATGGCGGGAAGCAGCTTCCTGGATGCCAAGGTACAACGGCATGACTTTTCTGGGCTCCTGCTGCCTTCACTTTCTTTGATTTTGATTGTTTATTCAGAAAATTTACACAGCAGCAGCATGTCAAGGCTACCTTCAAGAGCACAAAGCTCACTGTTTCTTGCTTCCAGTCTGCATCCACCTCATTAAAATAGCCTCTTTCCTTAGAAACATGTGGTCTAAAATTACAGCCCCACAAGTGCTCTTTACTTTTGACTCTGCTGTAGTCTAAATGTCCTCTCAACAGAAATCAAGCAGACTTTTGTGGGTGTTTGGGGGGAAGGGGTTGAATGCAAGAATTTGCAAGGTTTCAAGCACAGTCCTATGCATGTTTACTCAGGAGTAAGTCCCACTGTGTTCAATTGGGCTAACACCTAGGTAAGTGTGCATAGTATTGCAATTTAAGCCAATCTGCTTCCAAGGGAGAGCAGAAATTGCTGGAGTTAATATTTTTTGTAAAGTTTTAGAGTTGAGTTGTGAGGACCTTGTTTTAATTTCAGCCAAATCCTTTTTCCATTGAGTAACTTAAGGTTTCCTCCCCTATCTCTTAGGGTGGTACCAATCTAATTATAAACAGCTATGGGCCAATTGCAAAGAAGAGCGCCAGGAAATGGCTCTTCTTTCAAGACTCTAAGAGAGGGAAGTCAGAAGAGGTAAGAGAATGACTGGGTGTATTCTGCCTCCTGGCCTCTTCAGGCTTGAGAGTGGCTCTGAATTTCTGCCTTGATATCTTGTGTTGGGGCATTTAGTGAAGTGAACTAATCACAAGGGCAATCCCCAAATCTCATATAGCTCAAGAGCTTCTCTTTCCTTTCGCTGGAGACAGGGTTGTCTCAAGATAATTTGCTGCTTGATGCAAAGCGCCTCATGGCAGCTCTCCTCATCCTGTGTGCCGAATCAGACTTGATTGGCAGTTGAATCTTACCTCAACGTGGCATACTGTATTTGCACCACACCTGAGGTCCCGGGGAGGCTGTGTGGCACATGGGGCTGTGTTTTCCCACACCTTGCAGCCAATCCCCATTCTCCAGCATCTGCCACCTGAGGTGACAACCTCATGGTAGGACCAGGCCTAGTCAGAGAAGATGTTGTTCTTTGCAGTTTATTTCAGTCTCCAGCTTGCCCTACTATGAGGTAGTGAAGCAGGAAGGTATTTCCAACTGACTTCAAAAGATAGGCATGGTTTGGGAGAGAAATGGCCTTGTGAGCCAGTTTGGACCCCCAGAAGGCCAAAATTGGCCATGTGTTTCCTACTCCAGATCTCAGTGTTCACCTTATACCAGCAGAGTTTTTGGGTGTTGCCTGTATTCTATTTTGGTCTATTCTGCCTTAGAAGCACCTTTATTTTTGTGTAATGCTTTTCCTCCCTGTGTTTCCTCCAGACCCAGAGATGTTTTACAAAAGCAGCGTGTTTGTATCAGTCAGGCACTGCCGTCCTCATTGGCAAAGATGCCTCCCCACAGCAAAAGCCGAACTACCAGGCTGCATACAGCATCGTTGCTGACACAGAGCATTCAGCAAACAGTGAAGAAAGCCACGAAACTGGTGATTCTGGAAGGTTCTCTCATGAGTCCAATGAAGAACTTCACCTCTCTGCGGGCGTCAGTGCAACTCCAGTGACCCCCGATTCCTTTGCAGGCAGTGCCCCCGTGTGTCCGCTCCCGAGTGCCTCTGAAGAGCCTCCCGACCAAAGTCCGCCGCCACTTCTCCAGCTGCCGCCTGCAGGGCAAAACTGAGCCTGCCACCAGAGCGGCGTGTGTGTGTCTGTGTCTGTATGTCTGTGTGTGTCTGTTCAAAGGACAATGAACAAAGAGCCAAAGCTTTAAGTGGGAACCCTGAGTGGCCAACAGGCGATCCCGCAATTCTGTCGACCATTTTTGTTTTTTTAAGAAATGTGTTAAAACTCACGCTTTTTGAATGTTCAGTGCTCAACAATGTGAAAGGAAAGTACGGATTTCTGAGTAGAGCGAAGAAGAGAAGTTTTTATATATCTATATATCTATATATCTATCACTGGAGCAAAGGTGATCCCTTTGCTTGAATATCTACCTCAGTTTGCCGGGTGGCATTACCTCATGTTTTTTTGTGTTGAGAGTTGGTCTCGGCTACATAACTGACGATAACTTCCTAGTAGTCCCATGTATTTTCCCTCCATTTTATGTGTAGGGTGTGAATGTGTGTGTGTGATCCAAAGGAGCTGTGTCGGCAGGTGAGCAGGGATGTTCAGCTGAATCTCTGGCTTTGAGGAAAAGGAGGGGAGGAAGCCTCTCCATGGGGCAGGAGCAGAGGACCAGGGCCAGACTGGCATCTGGAAGGAGGGACTCTGACTGCAGCCTTTTCTGCCAAACCCCCTAGAAGGTTGCCTAGCGAGGGAGCCCAGACTCTTATGACTGCTTCACAAGAGGCCAGGGCCTGTTAAGTTGTTTTGCCTTCAGGGCTGCAGCCCTGGGAGGGGGCCAGTAAAAGCCAACCCCTGGGCTTCCAAACACTGAACTGCTTTCCTTTTGAGACTTGAGGGTCACATCTCCCTCCTTTCCCCCAACCTGCCTCAGACAGTGCCTTCTTCTTCTGATCACATCAGCCGAGCATTTTTGGGTCAGGATATGCTGTGGCGAATCGCTCGGGCCCAGCCGTTACTCCCTATTCCTTGACTTGCGCCCATCAGGCAGGTAATGCTAAAAAGGGAGTGTTTCCTCATACTTCAGAGCAATGGTGCCTTTCACTATATAGATATCTTATGAAATCACTGTTTTGCCTTATGCCTTTTTTAGTATTCATGAAGTTGCTTCAGAGAACAGAAAGATGCCTTAAATGTGCTCTGCAGGTTGTGGGGTGCAAAGGGTCTCAAGTGCTCAGAAACTCTTCCCATAGGTCTGTTTCTGGCCAGTCCTGGGCTCCCCAACCCTGCTCAGGGCTCCTTGCTTCAGATTCAGATGCTGTGATCCCTGCATTGCAGGGGGCTGGACCACATCCCTTCCAACTCTACAATTCTGTGATTCTATGAAAAGCGTTAGGTCCTTCCACAGGCCAGCTTGAGCTCTGCCGAGGCCTTTCTTAGAACAAAGGAGCCAGAGACTGAGCTGAACAGCTTCTCAGAAGAGGGGGGCACCTGTTTCTGCCACCTCATACCCACACAACTCCTGTTTTATACTACCTCCTTTTAAAGTTATTCTAGTATTATTGTTTTCCCGTACTCAGGGCGCAGTTTGTTACTTTTTAAGCTGTCTTGCAGCAATGTGAGGCAAACTGACAGGGTATTGTGTATTATTTTGTTTTTAAGTTTGGGAGAGAATGCGAGAGAGTGAATGAGAAAGCAAGTGAGAGAGAGAGAGAGAGGGCTATATTCACCAAAGTTGGGAGCCAGTCAATAGAGATCTCCCCCTCCTCTCCCCCAATCAGAATTCATTTCTTTTTCCAAAGAACGCAATACTGGCAATTAACTTCCCAGGGAAACCCCTGGTTCTGTTGCGGACAGCAAAAAAATGTCCACTTGTGCCATATTAAGATGGGAGCCAGTATGCAGGTATGTTTGGGGAAGAGGAGGGGGAACTAACAAATCTCTCCCCACCTACCCTTTTTCATTTTCCTTTGGTGAATTGGCCTCTGTAGATCTTTAGAATGCAGGTGTATGTTTGCTAGTGCTGTACCAGACAAGACCTGTTCACCTTTCACAATTTTCTTGACGCAAAGGCTTTAAAGATGATAATAATCTTGTACCAAAGAATTTTCTGTAGAAAAGAGAAGAAAGCTGCATATTTTCCAAAAAAATAATAATGGTAATTGAGCTAGTTAAAACTATAGGTTTGCATACATTTTATTACCTAAGTAGTTACTAACCAAAAGGAGGAGAGAACCAAACGAGAAGGGGCCTCTATGGACTGTAGGAGTTTATGGTCCAAATTAGTTCTACAATGTTAACTATCTTTATTGTTACAAAAGACAGCCTTTAAAGAAAATTGAAATAAGACCTTTTCAGCATATAAAATCTCCAAAGACTTCCAAGTGTAATTTTGTTTTCCTTTTCTTCAGCAACTAAGCTCTTTTAACAGTCCAGTATTAGATACATTATAATATTTTTAAATGTGTTATATATATATATATATTTACTTGCTGAAGAAAAAGAAACTTGTCTCACCAAAGATTTTATTTTTGGTCTCATTGGACAAAGCTGTGTCGGGCACAGTGGAGAGTGCGCTGCTTGAAGCCAGGAGACAAAAGATGGCACGGTTCATGCCGTGAAACTCCTGGCATCCTTGGCGAGCCTCTTAGCAATGGCTGATATGCCAAGGTAACCATTTTCTTCTCCCAAAGACTTGTTTGCTGTGAAGTACTGACACTTTTTGACCCCTTCCTGATGCTGTTGCGTGACGCCAATAGATCCCCCTCCTCAGCAGTTTCATGCCAAAGACCCATCAAGCTCCACGGCTGCTCTGGGAATAATCAAGAGGAGCAGGTGCGGCTGTGGGAACCGTAGTAGATGGTGGCTGCCATTGTTGGGCCCTTAGGCTGGAAGATGCTTCGCGATCTCTCTTGCCCTGAGCATTTTAGACTGGGATAAGGTTGCGATAGCTTTCAAGTTACACGGGACTCCGTGAGGCCTCACAAAGAGCTCTGTGAAAATTAAAAGTCTGCCTGCATTTGTGTGGGCAAATCTTGGCTCATCTGAGTAAAGATACTACTTTTGCCTCACACGTGTCTTCTACTGGAATTCTTGTCAGTCAGACAGCGGGTTAATTGCCTCAGTTTCCAAAGATATCCAGTTAACTAAAGAGAGTGGCTTTATCCACAAGGTGATCTGCCAGTAAAGAAATAGCTTTTGTTCAAGTACTACTTAGCAGCAAATGAAGAAAAAAACCAAAGATATTTAAGGTTACCTCAGTATAGAGGCATGATGTGTTAGGTAGGTCTCTTTGCCTTTTTTTTTTTTTTGAGTTAGCATTATATTATAATGTGTCCCTCCAGCCTGCATCCAGAGAGGCGCTTAGCACGTGCTTTGCCTTTGAATCACCATATGGCAAAACCAAGGATAATTCTAGACCCTTCTTTATCCCAGGGTGTGATGGCTATGGGAGCAGCTTCCGCTGCTGAGTCCTAGAAAGGGTTGTAAGCCAGCCAACTTTCAAGAATGACTCTTTCTTGGGGCTCTCCTTTATCACAGAAGTTATCTTCTAGAATGTGAATTTCCTTGGCCTTTAAAAATGTCCAAAGGATAGCTGAGTAAAACTGTCATTTCCTTTACCTCTGAAGAGCCAACAGAGAACCATTTTTGATCCCAGTGGGATCTGAATTGGGTGGAAATGATGCTATCTGGAAAGTGCATGTTCTGGAGTAGTCCCATTGGTTTCAATGCTAAGACACCGAAAGAGTGGCCCCAGGGGGCATAAGCGGTGTGCTGAGCCATGGGTGCTTGCCCCCAATGGCAGCCTCATGACCATGTGGCAATAATGCTGATGCCATGATGTCCAAGGAGCAGGCTTTGCGCTTGTTATTCTTACCTCTGGTATTTGTGAGCAAAATGTGCAGGCAAAATTTTATCTAGTTTGGTGATGACTGTCCAGAGACCCCAAGTTCTGGAGGTGGGAAGACTCTCTCCCTTGTGTAGTGGCCAATTTTTCCAAATGTGTATTAGAGGATGAGCATAGGTCCAGATTATATATTTTCAGTGTGATGTCAACCCAAAAGCCAGGGCTGGCGTAAGGAGCGTGTGTATGTGTGCAATCTTTTAGGTCTTTAAGGAAGCTGGCGTGATTTGAAAAGCCTGCCTGGCTCATGTCTGGGATGCTGATCTCTCTTGAGTCTCAAGTGCATTTGGTGTACTGTGAGAATCCGCCACTGGGCCAAGTGCAAGAATTTTCTAAAGACACATCTATCCAACCTCTTCACTGGCACTATTTCTGGTAAAGTTAGAAAATTTAAAGCATTTCCCTGTGACAGCTTTACAAATTTGTTCCTTTTAGTTTCTACCACTTAAGATTAAATAACAGCTGCTGGATATGAATATGCCTTTGCTCTGTGTACACAGTCCCTTTGAACAAGCTGTGGCTGAAACAGGAAGTCTTTGATTGACCTTTAGTTTATCTTTTTCTCTGAACCAGGAAACTATGGTTACCAGCTTTGGAACCAACTAGGATGTTAACACAGCTTCAAACCATGGTTCAGCATCCTGTCTTATTCCAAAGCTGATAACCATAGTTTCCCAGTTTGGATAAAACAGGAAACAGTGGTTAATTGAAGACTTCCAAGTTTGCTAGCTAGGAGCAAAGGAGCTGCATTCATGGGCAAACACTCATTCATAGCTTTTTAAGCCAAGATGTGGCCAAGCAGATGCAGCCACACTCCCACTATAAAACATCTTGCTCAAACCAGATCCACAAATTTGAATCTGATCTGAGCATGATTTGGACCCAGTAGGAATTTGTTGTTTTTCCTTCTGTCTTTTGTGCACATACACACCCCTTAAACCCACCTTGTGCTTTTGGTAAATGGCTTGTTCATGAAACCTAGGCTTTTGAAAAACAAAAATATTTTTTGTTTCTGTTGTATTTTTAAATATGTGAATGAACTGCAAGTGCGGGAGTCCAGCTATATTTCTTTTGCGAAGGGTGTTCTGACTCCCGGCGCTCCTTCTGCTGTTTCTGGTAAGGGCAGCAACAGCTGACTGGCAAATGGAGGACAAAGCTGAATTATATTAATTTTATATTTGACTCAGGGGATCAGCTCTGTGAATTCCATTGCATGAGGGCAGCTGGTGTTTGCCTTGATAATGAATGTACCTTTTTCAATGTATTTTTTTAATGTTTTGTTTAATAATGTGGATTTTTTAAAACGAAATTCTTTTTTTTTAAAATAGCATTATAGTGAATGTTAAACCTTGGTGTGTTTCTCCTCTTCCCCACCCCTCAGGCTTGTTCTTATACTAGCACAAATGTCATGCCAAAAATGAGTAGAAATTTAAATGCCAAAATGTTTATAAAACTGCTGTCTAATACTGATGGATTGCACAGTTTAAATAAAAGTTTCCTTTAGTAAAAGTTTTCCTTTTTTCTTTCAAGGAGTAATTGTCGTTGCAGTTTCTTCGATGAGTCAATACTTTGGGGAGGGGCTTTGCATGGAGCAAGTGAGGGAGGAAGCTGAAATAAGGACATCAGGACCATTCTTGGGAAGACAAAATAGTCTCTCAGCAGTGTTCCCCCATGCCATCATAAGAATCCATACAAGGAGGAACTCCGCTTTCACATGATTATGCCCCTTACTTCTTGGCTTTCTCAACAAAGGCCCTTTGAGTATTTTGCACAATTTGGTATGAACTGAGTATTTTTATTTACCAGAAGTTTAGACCATTTTTATAAGCCAATGGTATTCAGACTTTAAAAATATTAATTATGCACTCTTGCAATGAAGCCTCGCCCTAGCCAGCACCTCAACCTTCATCTTGAGACACTTCCTGTTTTGGTTTTCCCCCATCACAAATCTGTGCATAGACACACACACACACACACACACACACCCCTTGCTGCTCAGCTGCATTATGAGGTCCTTCAAAGGCTGTCCCCTCCCACTCGCTGCTCACCTTTTCAACAGCGCACTGCATACCTTTTTTAGAATGGGGGATCCTAATTGCTCACTTTGATGACTCACTTTATTTCTCCTACTTTTGCTTGCATCCCAACCTTTCCCCAATGGGTGCTCTCTCATTTCTCTCTCTGTTCTTCCTGGTCCCAAAAGTGTCGCCTTCAGTTTGCACTTGGAACACCAAGGCAAACTAACCGTATTTCTCTAATGGCTAATTCTGGCAGTATATTTCTAGCAGCCTATCTCTAGAAAAAACATCTCAAAATGAAGCATCCAGTACTCTTTCCAACACCCACACACTATGTGGTGTGTCACGACACTAAGACAGAAATGAGAGAAACACAGCACTGCATCAAATCTTGCCAGAACTAGTAAAGGTAAAGGTACCCCTGCCCGTACGGGCCAGTCTTGACAGACTCTGGGGTTGTGCGCCCATTTCACTTAAGAGGCCGAGGGCCAGCGCTGTCCGGAGACACTTCCGGGTCACGTGGCCAGCGTGACAAAGCTGCATCTGGCGAGCCAGCGCAGCACACGGAAACGCCGTTTACCTTCCCGCCAGTAAGCGGTCCCTATTTATCTACTTGCACCCGAGGGTGCTTTCGAACTGCTAGGTTGGCAGGCGCTGGGACTGAGCAACGGGAGCTTCTGTATACAACGGGTGCTTCTGTATACAATGGTACCTCAGGTTACATACGCTTCAGATTACAGACTCCGCTAACCCAGAAATATTACCTCAGTTAAGAACTTTGCTTCAGGATAAGAACAGAAAATTGTGCTCCGGTGGCACGGCAGCAGCAGGAGGCCCCATTAGCTAAAGTGGTGCTTCAGGTTAAGAACAGTTTCAGGTTAAGAATGGACCTCCAGAACGAATTAAGTACTAAACCCGAGGTACCACTGTATTGATCCATACATAAATTGAAAGCAATAATCAAGACAGTATTGTAGATGATAAAAATTAAAATTACATTTTTTTCTTACTTGCACTGATGATAGTCATTGTTTGAATGGGGGGCTTTTATCCATTTTCATAGTCACAGAATCAAACAATCAGTAGCAGAACTGGGTTCTGCACAGTCACAAAAACAAATTAACTAAAAAAGCCTCAAAAACAAAAATGCAAAATAAATAGCAAAAACAAAAGCCCAAACTGAATCCGTTCTGGAAGTCCATTTGACTTCCAAAATGTTTGAAAACCATGGCGCAGCTTCTGATTGGTGCAGGTGCCCTGGAAACAATAGCTGACAGCCGCATCGGACATTTGGCTTCCGAAAAACGTTCAAAAACTGGCACACTTCCGGGTATTTGGTGTTTGAGAACCAAGGCATTTGAGTACCAAGGCGTTTGAGAACCAAGGTACCACTGTATTAGAATGCAGGGGACAGGAGCTTCACAAACATGTTCTAGGACCGTCGTGAATTAGGATCTTTTGAGAGCAACACAGTGTGCTTTGGCAGATTTACCCATTAACTTGCACAGGTCTTAAAACAGGAGTGTTTATTGCACACACAAAAGGCAATCAAAATACAGGTATACAAATCCAACACTCCAGCAGGGGTTAGTTCTGCAAACAATGTGTAACCTATGAAAGCAATATGGGGATAACTTAGTAACAACATGGTTTGAGGAGTTAGCTCATTAATTCTTAAATCATGACTAACAACCACCAGGGTGGGGAGGTGCTCAGTGCTACTTAGGATGGTTCCCTGGCTCCTCTCAAGACAAAACAAAGGTGTTTCCTTTAAATAAGAGAACTGTTATTATGGCAGTCAACTGTACAAACTCGGAGGCTAGGGGAGCACCAGCATAGCGGGGTTTCACCCCGCAAGGCAGTAATTTGCCCCCTAACCGTGATGCGCCCTAAACCTAGATTTGCACTAACGGAGAGTTACGCCCGGGGAGGCGGGCCCTGCCCCCCCACTCACGCCACTGAGGAGCACAATCCGGTCCAGGTGCTGTTACAAGACAGAGGAGCAGCCATTATAAACCCAGTTGAACAAAGGTTCAAGAGTCCCAGGCTACATCCGTACCATACATTTAAAGCACTATTAGCCATGGCTTCCCCCAAAGTATCATGAGGGAAATAGTATGGTATTTAGGCCAAAAGTTGTCAGGAGACTCCCATTCCCCTCACATGGCTACGATGCTCAGAGTGGTTTAACAGCCCATCTTCCCAAGGAGCTCTGGGAATTTTAGGTTTCCCAACAACGCTCAGCACCCGTAACAAACTGCCGTTCTTTGAAGGAAGTTATGACTATTCAAGTGGCATAATAGTGCTTCACACATATGGTGCAGAGGAGGCTTGACATGAGTAGCAAGAGTTTGGGAGCTGCAAGGTTGTTCCAACAAGTTTCCCCATCTAGCCACCAAGCTTTTAAGCAGAGGTTGAGAGGATCAGCTGCTCTCAAGAATCCCTGTCCTAGAATAGCACTCCTGACTATTCTCCTCCTCCTCCGAGCTCTCATGCTCTGTCACAACAGGACTGGCCTCTGAGCCTGAGTCTCCTTCATCCTCCAGAGTCTGGGAAGGGTCTCCTGCTGCCTCATCAGGTCTGGAGGCAGAGGCAAGGGGCTTCACCAAACAGGCTCTGCTGCACAGCCTTTTCCCATCTCTGATTCCTCAAGTGTGTCTCCTCCTGCTGATCTGAATCAGAGGGAGCCATGCTCTTCGTCCCTGGGCTCAGACTAAGCCTGAGTCATGCGCAGCTGGGCAGGGCGGCTTCTAAAACATGGTCATGCACACCCCCCCGAGGAAACAAAAAACACGATGCACAACTGCTCAAAGATGCAGGGAAGAGGGAGTCAGATGTAGAGGTTACCGTTTGTAGGTGAAGGATCTCCAAAAGACAGGTCAGGTAGCAAGATCTACATTGTCTGTCTTAGCAGGCATTTCTGAGGAAGGAGAACTAAGGCACACTGAAGCTCCTGGGTTTGGTAGGAAACTGCTGGACAGGCAGGCAGGAGCCCTGGTCTGAGCAGCTGGGGCCAGGATCCTGGCTTCAGGAACAGGAATGTAGTGGAGTCCTGAAAGGGGCTTTTGAAGCAGCTGCAGCAAGCAGGAACCCAGAGGAGCAGTTGAAAGCAAACGAAAAGCAGAGTAAGATCTTGGAGGCAGTAGTGAAAAAATGACTGTAGGCAGCAAGTAGGCAAGTTTGCTGTAGGCAGCAAACCGGAACAGGTTGTGGTGGGATCAAGAGCTCAGTTTTTATACCTTCCTGGATAAAAGCTTCAAAAGCCATTCTGAAACTGATCGGACTGGGAGATGTCAGCCAGGCAGGATCCAGTGCCATTTTGTAAAGGACAGTCTCCTGGATGCATGATTTGCGGGTGGCCCAAAGCATTTTGCAGTGCCCATCCCCCATTACTTAATTTTCAAAACGTATTTCGGCTATGCATAAACGTGCTTGATTGTACTATGTGCCCACAGAAAACTCTGGGCTGGACAGAATCCAATGCCACCTTGTAGAGGACACCCTCCTGGAAACGTGGGTTTATGACGTATGATGGCCCAAAGAATAATTTGGGGTGGGACCTGGTTGTTTTTTTTAGTATTTCAGCTATTGTTGGCATGTACAGATGCCCTTCTCTATGCCATAGACCCAGATGAAGCTCTGGAACAGGTGGGATCCCATGTCAGCCTGCAGAAGTCACACCCCTGAATGGGTCGGCATAAGATTTGTGGTGGCCCAAAGCATATTTTGTGGTGGCAGTTCCTTCTTTTTTTAAGGTTTGTGTACAACACTGCAATGTCATCACACATTTATGAGTGTTTCATATGGTCAATTTGAATGAAGGAAATTCTCACTGAACTCAAGCGAGTTGAGTCCCGGGATCATGGAGATCTATTCAGTCTGGATCAACTACTGCAGCTCCAGTTACAGATAGGTAGCCGTGTTGGTCTGCCATAGTCAAAATATCCAGGCAGCCCACGTGCCTCTACTTTACGCTTGTCTCCCAGTGCTGTGAAAGTGACAATTAATTACAGAACACGCCCAAATCTTATTTTGGTGTTCAGGGACATAAAACCTTTGTGGTTCAGGGACATATGCACGTTCCTTTTTTAACAAAGTGTTTCCAACTTCTTGGAACTAGCAAGTGACTTGAGCAGCATTCTCGGGAGGGACAGAGGAAGCGGGCGCCCCCCACGGAGCTCAGGCTCTGCTGGAAGACAAGGGCGGGCAGCAGCTTGGCAGCATTGGAGGCTGGGGCCGGTAGTCGCACACCTCGGCCCTTCGGACACGTTTCCTCCGGTGCCAAGTCCTGGGGCCGACCCCTCCGTTCCTCCTCCAGCGATTCCCGCAGAGCGCCAGGGGCCGAGCCCCTGCCCCGAGGAGCTTGCAAGAAGCCGCTGCTCGAATCCCCGGGCGGGGAAACCTGCCTCCTCCAGAGCCGAAGGAGCAGCAGCAGCAGCGGGCGGCGTGCACACGCCTCTGGGCGACACGTGGAGTCCCGGGATGGGCCGGTAGCGCGGCCGCCTCTGCCTCCTTCCTGCGGAGGGCGTCGCGGCGGCCCCTCCGGGCCCAGCCAGGCCGCGGGCGGAGCTGCCCGGCCCAGCTCCCTCCCTTCTCCCCCGCCGGGGGTCTCCACGCAAGGGCGGCGGCTGCTGCTGCGGCTCCCGCTCCCCGCTGCCGCCCTACGCCGGGCCCTCTCGCCGCCGCCGCCTCCGCTCCTGCTGCTGCTGCCTGGCGGGGCCTGGAGCGATGCTTCGCCGGTGATGTCCGCGGAACACGAGAAGGACCCCGCCGCGGCGCTCAAGAGGCCCCGAGGTGGGAAGGAGCGGCCGCGCGAGGCCCCGGCCCGGAGGTGGCGGCGGCGCCCTCGCCTGGCCTGGCCGCCGGCCGGGAGAGCGGGGCGGCCTCTCTTCCCTCCGGCCGGGCCGGGCCAGGGAAGCCTCCCGGGCCCTTGGCGAGCCCCTCTCCGGCCGCCCCCTGGCTCTCGAGCCCCCGAAGGGCTTCTGCGGGAGGAGGGGGGCCTTCCCTCACCAGGGTTCTCGGAGGGGCTCCTCGGACGCCTCTGCCGGGCTGGTGCCTGGGCGGCAGGGGGAGGACATGGCGGGGGGCGGCGGGGCCCTGAGGCTGCTGGTTCGGGCTTGATTGTTTGCCGTGTGGCTGAGAAAGGGCCCGTCCTTCTTGCGAGATGCACCCATTCAGACACTCGTAGGCCTCCAGGGTCATCTTCCAGAGAAGGGCGCTGAGAGAGAGGGAGAACACAGATCGGCACGCGGTCCGATTCCGACAAGCGTCCAGCAAGCCCGGGAGCATTCCTGAGGCACCTTGAATGGAGAAGGGCCAGGAGCTCGGCACACAGGCAGCAGGGACTGGTGTGGGGTGTTTTTTTTGCAAAGCTTCGAACTACCTTGCTAAAGGCAAAACATCTTAAGGCTGAGCTTTTGGAACTTAGTTGGGCTTTTAGAACTTAGTTGTTTGAGCTTTATTGTGGGTCTTAAAGCTCCCTAATCACGAATTGTCATCACTAATTGAGATCACTAATTGTCATCACTTGCTGAAGCCTTAATTTAACTTGGGGCCACAGGATTCTCAGAGTACCAAAGAGAACAGTCATTTTTGGAGTGTTTCCTTCACCTTAGAGAGCTGTGTCTTAATTGCAAAGCTCCAACTCTTGACTGTTTCCAATTTCTCACTGTGCTACATATTCACATAGAGTGGTACCTTGTTTTGCAACCATTTTGGATTACAACCACGTCAAACCCTGAAGTGTGTGTCTGTTTTTTTGGATTACAACCCATATTTTTTTGTAGGCCCCATTGGCGATAGCACGCCTTGGGTTACAACCTGTTTGGGTTTACAACCGGACCTCCAGAACAGATTATGGTTGTAAACCAAGGTATTGCTGTATTTTTGTACATCCTCCTAGTAGCTTAACCAAGCAATGGCATTTAATTCTGAAGGCATGTAGTTGGCTAGAATCTACCCAGAACAGAACACAGCACTCATATAAGTGAGAGAGGTATGTTTCAATCCATAGGAGAAGATACAGTTGATGTTCACCTGTGAAAGAAAAGACTGGTTACTAGTAACGTATCTTAAGTTATGTGAAGTACTGCATCTTAGTCTGATTGCAGAAATTCTCTGTACTGCCATTACTCTGGACAGCAATGCTAAATAAATGCATGTTACATAGACACATATTGAACAGCTCGACTTGCGTGCACAATCCATTATTTTGTCATAAAGTTAACTACAGAACAATATACTTTTGAAATCTTATAGGTGGTGACGGTGGATTGGATGGGTTAGGAGGCCCAGGTGTGCAGCTTGGCAGTCCAGATAAGAAAAAGCGCAAGTCGAATGTTCAGGTAAGCTGCCTTGTGCCTCCTCCCTTTGGCTGGAAAATCTAAACTGGCCTGACTCTTCCCCTGTGGGAATTCCTATCTCTTTCCTTTAAAAAAAATTTAAAATGTAATTTTCATTTATATACATTACAACAATAATTCAACAATAATTCTAACATTTCTAACCTCGACTTCCTTCCCCCTCTATCTGTGGTTCCTTATATTTATTTTCACATCCTCTGCATACTCCAAATGATATTAACTTATTCTTTTAATCATCTGTTTTCATATATATTTTTGAAACTGCAGGTTTTTACAATAATCCTGCCAATGTCTTAATCTGTTTGCAGTTTATTTGTAAATATTCTACAAACCATTTCCATTCCTTTATAAAAAGTTTAGTGTCTTGATAAGCTTCACTATTTCTACATAGTCCATTAGTTTCAGTATCCATTCTTCTTTCATCAGGACATCTTCCCATTTTGGGGTAAATAACATTCTTGCAGCTGCAGTTGCATACATAAATAAATTTCTATACTGTGTAGGTAGTTCTGATCCTAAAACTCCCAAGAAAAAAGCTTTCCCAGTAAGCTTTAACCTTATTACAAGATCACCACATGTGAAAAAATGTACCTTCTTTCTCTTTACATTTCCAACACTTAATTCACTTTTGATTTATATATTTTTGCAAGTCAGCTAAGTGTTAAATACCATCTACATAACATTTTCATATAATTTTCTCTTATACCATAGCCTGCTGTAAATTTTATGTCCGTATTCCACAATTGTTCCCATGTTTCCATTTCTATGTTATGATCAATATCTATTGCCCAGTGTATCATTATACATTTTAGACATCGCTTTAACATGACAGTCTAACAGATCTCTCTCTAATTGTGATAATTGTATTTAACACTTAGTCGACTTGCAAAAATGTATTGGCTGCAAAGGACCAACCGGTGGTTTGAGGTGATGACCAATATGTAACCGGCCTTGTGTGTGAGTACTATGGTCTTCTTGAAAGGGAGTTTGTGCAGGCAGCAGCTGCAGGAGTGGGCATACTATGAAGAATGGAAAGACTAATGCTTTTCAGTGGAGGAATCCTAAATGGATTCTGAGGCCAGCAACCCACCTTTGTAACAGACACAGATGTTTCATTTCATGAGATGAGGGAATCCTCAGGTTTGGCCTTCTCTTCTGTTGGGATTCCAAGTAATCTTGATTTCTGATTTATCATTTCCAGGGGTCATCCTTTCCTCCACCATCTGAATATGCGCCTCCACCAAATCCCAGCTCTGATCACCTTGTAGCTGCAAATCCGTTTGATGACAACTACAACAATCTTTCTTACAAGCCGTTGCCATTGGGGAACCCATATTTTGCCAATCCCAGCTACCCCGGCTTTGGAGGCTACAACACGTTCAGGATGCCACCGCAGATGCTTCCCAGGATGTCCTCACCATACGGTGCTACTTACCCACTTAGAAACCAGCCACACCCATTTCCCCAGAACCCAGTGGGAATGGTCTACAACCGGCCTCAACCGATTAACTTTGGGCCACATGAAAATGTGTCTTTTGGAAACCAGCCATCCTATAACAGTAACATGAATCAGAATGTTGGCATGTCCGGCCAACACTTCAGGCCGAACCCTGGTGAGAATTTTGGTCACATTCCTTCACAGAACACGACACAGATGTCACCCCATGACATGCCATTGCACTTTGGACCTGGCGGCAACCCCAATTTCAACAATTCCCAGATGGAGTCAAACCATTCTTTCTTTCCCTCGCCAAACAATTACAACCAGGCAAAGCCTTTGCAAAAGCAAGGTGCAAATAAGCACAACCACCCCCCGCCACAACATCATCTGCACGGCCCAGAGGACACTGCGAACTCAGGAAACACAGATATAAAGACTGTGAATCGAAATAACCCCGCAAACCAGGAGAGCATCCCTTCTAAAAATGTTGAAAATCTGAACAGCAATCATGCGAATGGGGCTCAGAACAAGCCCCGGCTCCCCAGCCGAGGTCCAGCTGAAGGAGGCAGCTCTGAGAAGGGCAGCAAAATGCCCCTACACCCTGGTCAGCATGGTCACGCCGCCTCTGAGCCAGTCTATCCTTGTGGGATTTGTACCCACGAAGTGAACGATGACCAGGATGCCATCTTGTGTGAAGCTTCTTGTCAAAAATGGTTTCATCGGATCTGCACAGGCATGACGGAATCTGCCTACGGACTGCTCACTGCAGAAGCATCGGCAGTGTGGGGCTGTGACACCTGCATGGCGGACAAGGATGTTCAGCTGATGCGCACCAGAGAAACAGCTGGGCCACTAGTGTTGAATGCTGATGCGTGATGCCCACCCTGGTGTTTCCTTTTTCAGTCATGGGTGGGCTTTGTTTGCTTTCTTTTGAGCAGTTGGTCTTCACTTTCTGCCCAAGTGCATTAAGATTTTACCAGGAGAACTTCTAGCAAATGCTCAACTGACGATTAAGTGCCAATATGGCTTTACTCACATGGAGAGTTTGGGGGTATGTAAACATCTGCCTTTGTGGGTCACTTTGCCCAGGGCTATTCCACTTGGCAGTGTTGGAGGAAGCATATACTGATTTATCTTTTGAGTACATGGGAGTTCATTCTGTCCTCTGTTTGGGAGCCTTTCTTAAGTTCTGAAGGTTGAGGGCATGACACAGGGAGAAGGATCAAGCAATATTTATTTTAAAATGACCACCAGGAATGTCAAACTATTTGTATAAGTAGCTGAAAACCTCAAGTCATATTAACCCCCTTTTCACATTTTGATTTAGCTTGCTCTTTCAGAACATATTGGTGAGCTTTGAAGATAAGGAACAGGTCCATTTTTAGTGAATTCTGAAGAGTTACTCAGTGGGCATCTCTTTAATGGTCTTTAGCAGCCTGTTTCCAAACACATTTACTCAGCAAGAACTCTTGTAGTTTTCATTGGCCAAGTGAGCATCAATAAGACTAAGTGCATAAAAGCTCAGCAGGCCTGAATGTTTTTTTTTCTTCCCTTTTTTCAAAAAAGGGATTGAGGTTTGTATGTCTGTGATATTAATACACACTCACCCTTTCCAAGACCCATCATGTCCTCCGCAATGGCATTGCAACACCATGAAGTGTGATGCTGCCATCCCAGTGTCGGCTGTCTTGGCACTCCATTGTGGTGCTAGATTAGAGTTCTGGGCTCTTTAGACCTTTTTGTGTGATGAATGTAATCCAGATAAATTTGCTAGTATGGTAAATTGTTCAAGTCCCACTGTCTTCAGAGGGACTTGACTTATTAAGCATGCTAATTTTTCTTTGGCTTGGGAATGTGCATTTGGTTCCACATGGACTTACTCTGGTGCCTGCTGTACAGAATTTACTGTTGCACATAGGCAGCCTCTGTGTCTCCCTTTCTTCCTGCCCTCAATCACAGCTAGCTTGCACATTTGGCTTTGTTTGAAACTTTTGCTGTAGTGTGTTTTTGTGTCCGCTCAGCTGCTCTTTGCAGTGCTTGCTTTCCCATACAGTTCAGGGTCTGCCCTGGGACCCTGGCTGCTCGCTCAGATGTCCACTGCCATCGCTTGCTCCTTCCTCTGCTGCTTCCAGTTGAGCTTCTCAGCTCTGCTGCTGTTTTTGTTTTGCTTCTGGCTGTGTTCTTGAAAACTGCTTGTCTTTGGAGGGTATAATGTCTCCCTCCGGGGAAGGGAAGGTCACGCCCAGCATTTTTCTCCTCTACTCACCCCAGTGTAACTGCCTTTGGGGATTTGATACAGTAGATCAGGTGCAGAGACCAGAGTGCAGGGCACAAACAATAGCCCAGGTTTCCCAACTCTTTAATATCTAATGCTTGTCTGGAGAAGACCTTAGGTCAGAGTTTTTCTCCATTACAAAAAGTATTTTTTCACTTCCATGGGAACCCCAAGCTCTTCCAGCACATTGCGGCTTCACTGATCTCCTCTGAAGTGAGGTTTACAGAGCACATGAATTTCTGAATAATGTTGGAGGAATGAGCAGCTGTTGCAGCTATGGATGGTTGGTGGAAATTCTACTGCGTTTTAGCCTCATTTTTAATAATAATAATAATAATAATAATAATAATAATAATAATAATAATATATTTGTACCCCACCCATCTGTTTTTTTAAAAATAATTTTTATTGATTTTCCAAACATGTAATAAAAACAAACAATAAAACAAAACAAAACATACAAACAAATAAACATATATAATTTCTTAAACTTATTTTCCTTCACCTTACTTCCAGGACTTCCCCATACCTCCCTTTTTCTGCATCCTTATATTTACCCTTTCTCAGCAACCCTCTATTTAATTAATTGACTCATTTTCGTTATAATTTCCTTAGACTTATGATTTACAGCTGCAATTCTCTGTTTCTTAACACCATAACATCTCAGCACTCCTCAATTTTACAACAGTTTTTGAGATACATTTTAAATTTCTTCCAATCTTCTTCCACTGTCTCACTCCCCTGGTCACGGATTCTGCCGGTCATCTCTGCCATTCCCATATAGTCAATCACCTTCGCTTGCCATTCTTCCAGAGTGGGTAGCTGCTGCGTCTTCCAATACTTTGCCAGAAGAATTCTTGCCGCTGTAGTAGCATACATGAAAAAAGTTCTGTCCTTACTTGGCACCAATTGGCCCACCATGCCCAGGAGAAAAGCCTCTGTTTTTTTAGGAAATGTCCATTTGAGGACCTTTTTAATTTCATTATAGATCATTTCCCAGTAGGCTTTAATCCTCGGGCAGGTCCACCAAAGGTGATAGAAGGTACCTTCAGTCTCATTACATTTCCAACATTTATTATTGGGCAAATGATAAATTTTTGCAAGTTTGACTGGGGTCATGTACCACCTATAGATCATTTTCATTATGTTTTCTCTCAATGCATTACAAGCCGTAAACTTAACACCTGTGTTCCATAACTGTTCCCAATCATCAAACATAATGTCATGACCCATGTCTTGTGCCCATTTGATCATAGCTGATTTTACTGTTTCATCTTGTGTATTCCATTTCAGCAGCAAATTATACATTCTTGACAAGTTCTTAGTATTGGGTTCTAACAATTCTGTTTCTAATTTCGACCTCTCCATCTGAAAACCTATTTTCCTGTCCTGTTTAAATACCTCGTTTATCTGAAGGTAATGCAACCAATCTCGTACTTTAGACTTTAATTTGTCATAACTCTGTAATTTAACTCTTTCACCATCTTGTTCTAAAATTTCATAATATTTTGGCCATTTGGACTCCATATTAAGTTTTTTTGTCTCTTTAGCCTCCATTGGTGATAGCCACCTGGGAGTTTTACTTTCCAGTAGATCCTTGTATCTTATCCAAACATTGTACAGTGCTTTCCTAACAATATGGTTTTTAAAGCCTTTATGCAGTTTTACCTTGTCATACCATATATATGCATGCCAACCAAATCTATTGTCATACCCTTCCAGATCCAAAATGTCTGTGTTCTCAAGAAGCAGCCATTGTTTCAACCAGCAAAACGCTGCCGATTCATAATAAAGTCTCAGGTCCGGCAGGGCAAACCCCCCTCTGTCTTTTGCATCAGTTAAAATCTTAAAGTTTATTCTGGGCTTTTTGCCCTGCCAGACAAATTTTGATATGTCTTTTTGCCACCTCTTGAAACAGTCCATCTTGTCCAAGATCTGGACCCCACCCATCTGGCTGGGTTTCCCCAGCCATTCTGAGCGCCTCCCAACAGAATATTAAAAACACAATAAAAGATCAAACGTTAAAAAACCTCCCTAAACAAGGTTGCTTTCAGATGTCTTCTAAAAGTCAGATAGATTATTTCCTTGACATCTCATGGGAGGGCATTCCACAGGGTGGGCACTACTACCGAGAAGGCCCTCCGCCTGGTTCCCTGTAACTTGGCTTCTTGCAGTGAGGGAACCGCCAGAAGGCCCTCGGAGCTGGACCTCAGTGTCTGGGCTGAACGATGGGGGTGGAGACACTCCACACAGGCAGCCTGAGGGGCCCACAAAGGATATCTGCGGGCAGAACTGTACATGCTCTGTTGGCATGCCTTGTTTGAATTATAATTCCCCAAGGCCTTTGATGTTTGAATTAGATGAATTTAACCTTGTAGCCCATCTAGAGAAGAGTCAGTCCTCTGTGGGATGTACCCAACCCACACTTCTCTGTTTAAACCAGGCATAGGCAAAATCGTCCCTCCAGATGTTTTGGGACAACAACTCCCATCATCACTGACCACTGGTCCTGTTAGCTAGGAATGACCTAGCCACTGTGATCCACACGACGGTCACCTCCAGACTGGATTATTGTAACTCGCTCTATGTGGGGCTGCCCTTGAGACTGACCCAGAAACTCCAGCGGGTGCAGAATGCCGCGGCGAGACTCCTTACGGGGTCCTCGCTGCGGGATCACATTCACCCGGTGCTATACCAGCTGCACTGGCTCCCAGTGGAGTACGGGATCAGGTTTAAGGTGCTGGTTTTAACCTTTAAAGCCCTATACGGCCTAGGACCCTCGTACCTACGGGACCGCCTCTCCTGGTGTGTCCCACAGAGGACCTTACGGTCTTCAAACAAAAACATTGGAGGTCCCAGGCCACAGAGAGGTTAGGATGGCCTCAACCAGAGCCAGGGCTTTTTCGGCTGTGGCTCCGATCTGGTGGAACGCTCTGTCACAAGAGACTAGGGCCCTGCGGGGCTTGACATCTTTCCGCAGGGCCTGTAAAGCGAACCTTTGGCCAGGGTACAGCCTGACCCCCTCCTTTGGCAATCCTCACAGAACTCCAGCCCAATGGTTGCCATTAATCTGATTTGAATTGATTTTATAATGAAATTATTTTAGAATGTTGTATCATTTTACTGTTGTTAGCCGCTCTGAGCCTGGCTTCGGCTGGGGAGGGCGGGATATAAATAATTTTATTATTATTTATTATTATAGTCCCAAAACATCTGAAGGGCCGAGTTTGCCTATACTTAGTTTAACTGAAGCTTAAATCCAAGAACGGCTGCAGCAACCACAAAACTGACTGTGGAGTGGACAAATGCTGGCTCCCTCGGCCTGGAAAGCGAGATGAGCGCTGCAACCCCAGAGTCGTTCGCAACTGGACTTAACTGTCAGGGGTCCCTTTACCTTTACCTTTTAGTGTGCAGAAAATACTTCTAAGTTACAGTAAAATAAAAGTTGGTAGTCTTAACTAACATGGCTGAAAGCATGTGCATCTGGTCAGCTTGGAGGCATAGTGGAAAGAGAGAGTCTCCTTACAGGCAAAAGGAAAGAAAAAGGACTGTTTCATTTGTTACAGAGTTCCCTCCCAGAGGAGGCAAAGGAAGTGACCACACACAAGAGGGTTCTCTTTAGAAAATTCAAGAATTCTCTGTGCTTGTCTAGCAAAACATCCATTTGTGATATTGGCTGTAAACCGCACAGCTTCCCTCCCTCTTCAGCCCTGGGTTCTTGAGATCATATAACCCACAGCAGGCAGTGTGTGCCTCAGTCTAGTCTCCTCTTTGTGACCTCATGAGGCCTTTCCCTGCTGGGGCTGAGAGGCCTAGTGGGCTGTCATTAGCCTGGCCTGTTAATGAGATTTTGAAATAAGGAAAGGGAGTTTTATTCCAGAGCAAGCTGTGATATAAATGAGCTCATGTGAGAGCTTGTGGGAGTTTGAATGCCAACTCTGCACTCTCATTTGTAGGGATTTTGAATTATCCAACCAGATTCCTCTTCATGGACTCTCCACCAAAGAATGGTCTTCCCTTTCGTAAGGCAAAGTTGAGATGTCAGAGGGGCTTGCACTTTCTCTCTTTTGCGGCCATGCACCAGCACACCCCGGAGGGTTCCAGCAAAATAGCAAAATAAGTGTAACCTACTACCATTGCTGCTGCTGCTGCTGCATTCTCAAGAGCATTCTCTTGGTAATTGCCATAGAGGAGCACCTGGGCTCTCTTGCATGTCTCATCATTTTATTGTTTGTACTGCATAGACCCTTGGGAAGTTCCAGTTTGAGTGAAAGAGGTGCATTCTTGTGCATAATGCCCATGTGACTGTTTTGAGGAGGGCTGCTTTTCTCTTCTTTCTTTGGAATGTGCCCTGCCAGTTAGAAAAATGTGTAAAGAAAATTTGGGGCACTTGAGATACTTCTGCGTTTGAGGTGCTTGCAATAGCTGTGGTCTCAATTATGGCCTTTAACTCTAGAATCAGAGCAGGAGACCTCAAGGTTTAGCTGGGACCACAACTAGACTTGAATCTCCTTTGTCAACAATGTGCCTTATTCTGCGACCTCTGGGTTTGTTTCCCCATGGTGAGTTGTGGTTCATTTTTTGACTCTTGGGTGAAAGTAGCCATGCCAGGAACAAGGAGTAGCCTGGTGGCTAGCCTTTGTGGACAACACATTTCTCTCAATGTGATGTCTTGCAGCCCTTCTAGAGCTGTTTCAAGGTGCTGT